ACTGGCTCCTTGAACAATGACTTTCAAACCCAAACCTCCTCACACTACCAACGAAACGAAGAAGGCCTTTGCTGCGGAGTTATTGGTTGTAAAATGCCAACTGACCGGTTACAGACCATTGGACAGGGAAGCAAAATTTTCATTTGCATCTTATTTACAAAGACTGGAAATCCATCTTCTCCTGAACGCGTTTTCTTGAACGTTCCTGGATATTCATTGACTCCAATCATTCGTCGCCCAAACCCAAGCAAATGTTACAAAGCGACTCCATAAATTCCGCAACAGATCTCCCCTTTTCAAGAGACGCAAATCGAAATTCCACGAATATCACATACTACTCGCGTGCCTCCTCATCAGTAGTATCACCGTTACACCAATAGACCAGGAGGATACAAAGCTAATATGGATGGAAAATTATACGAAGTATGTTGAGCCAAATGGGCTATTTCTAAACGATGCCTACGAGGTCAACAAGTGAGCTGACTGAGAAATTCTTCGCACGACGGTTGTTTGAGGAGATTTGGTAATTTTCAATGGAGATTTCATTCCGCCAGTAGGGCAAATCTATCCTAAGCCAGGAACCACCGTGAGCATATTTGCCCCATCGTCGGGGATCATCAGCAGTGCGCATCTCAAGGAACTCAGAGAATTTCGAACCGGCGGTCTTCCGGTTAGTGGTTCTACACTTAACCATTAAGCCACGGGCGATCTTTCAGTAGTCTGTTTATCTCTCAAGCACGCGGGTGATATCTAGGTAGTGTTTCACAAAGTATTTACTCAAATAGGAGTATAACGGGTAGGACTAATCACTACGACTTAATCCAGGAAGTGTCATACAGGCTTCTGCGTCTATACCAATTAGGTATCCATCTGAAGTCCAAATATAAATCTGGTGGAAGATCTCAGAATGAAAGCAACGTTTTGATTTATTAGTTTCAATAAAAGTTGCTTCTATCAGTAGGTTGAAAACAATAATGAACTGAAAGTAGAAACAGTAGCAAGTGAAGAACAGAACAAATAATAACTATAGAGGAAAGTAAAAGCCTTGGAAATTATTCGTCCAAGATTACTTGTCGTGTTTAGTTGGGGGAAAATGATGCCACCAAGATAGTACATGTATCTGGTGGTATTTTGGATGAGCTTATGTGAAAAATTCTCCTAAATGTAGGATATTTTTGGGGATCCTTGATTAGGAAGAGTTATGTTCTCGATCAAGTGAAGATGAGTGCAACGGTTGGTAGAAAAAATGGGCAAATTTTTGTGGGAAGTAGCCTGGATGCCGATGTACCGCTGAATTTAATAAGTGATTCGGACAACGCAGCAACAGAAAACCGTCCGGGGAACAGCTGTATGAAGACACCAATGGGGCTTAATTCAAACAATACGACAAAACAGTGGTACATAATGAGTAAGGTGAACCGACGAGAATTACAATGAGCTATAAAATGAATGAACCCCGATACGGACACACAAACACAGTAGCATCATCGGCAGGTATAAATAGTCGCTCCATCTCTCTCCACGTGGTGAGAACAATGCTTGTCTGTCTTGAATCTGTAAACCAGTTTCTCAACATTTTCGGGGTTTTGAGGTTCGCAGCTCAGTCTTCAGGTGTTTCAGATGTCTTCCAACAATGATTTAACAGCTGAATGACTGAAGAAGCGTTCAACTGCCTACAGGTTGTAGAATTTTTATGTTTGATCATGGTTACCAAGACATCGGAATTGGACTTTGCACTGAAAAATGTAGATTCACGAATTGCTATGTGGTCATCAACCTTCTAGTTAGCATCCGTAATTAACTGTCATCTGAATGGTTTCATTAGATCCAAGGAGCTGGGTTTATGGTGGCATGGTATTTGCTTCTGGGCTCGGAGATCAAATTGTAACCAAATATCCTCGTGGTTTGGAATTTTGGTTTTGTTTCGTTGGTACTGTGCTACGGATGTTCAAGGGTTAAATATTCTTTACTTTTGGCATCTATTTGTTTAAGTGGTTGGATTACATTATTCTTCCAAATGGCAAAACCCGACCAAAACTAGGCTTTAGTGTTAGTAAGAATTACATACGGTCATACACTCCTCTATGGTAGCGCTCAGAAAATAACATTTAATCCCAGCTCCATGTGTGCACAGTGACCGTCTGATCCGAAAACTGTGAGACCTCTCTAGAGCATAAAATGCGTGTACCATGGAACGACAGAACATCCCATTCGGTTGTCATCGGACTTCTTTACAGTGTTCCATACCTCCCCAATTTGATTCGGATGAGTTGATTACAATGACTTAAGCACGACACGCCAAAATCCCTATATCTCTACCTTCCTACTCAGAATGGAACTGTTGTCCAGGGGGAAACTGAAAGCGCGGTTTACAAATTTAATGCCAGTGTTCAACTACTTGGGCTGCACGTGGTTAACGATATCGAGCAGCAGAGCATAGCTAGGGTAAAGGGCCTTTCGGTCGTGTGACCGATCGTGAATCACAAGCAACAGATATCTCTATTCTTTACGAAATAAAGTGGACTCCGAAGCCGTCACCGTTTATTAGTGAGGCCACAATGTGTGGTTAATCTTGTGGCTTATACCCAAATGGTCATGAAGGGAAAATAAGGGGGTTGGAGGAAGCCAAATGAAGAATGTAGTCACGTAGATGCTACATTAGTTGATGGCATGTTGTCAGTCGCGCATCACCTTATCTGGAGACCAAATCCAGTCCAAGTACTTTATGGCGGTAGTTTGAATGTGAATTCAACAAAGCCCGTAACCACTTACAACTAATCAAAAAATGTTCATACTCACATCACCCCGGTTTGAACAGTCGTCCTCCTGTCCTGACGTAATAATCCTGTCCTATTTCAAACTCCAGCATGGTCTTTCGATATACAATTCTGATGAGCTCTAATAAGACTGAAACTCGAGTCCAGTGTCCCCCCACTTTGGTGTGGACTCAACCGAATAATTGCGCTAGAACAGGTAGACGAGTGTTCAAACGGGATCGACGTGAACGTTAATTCTAAAGATTACACAACCACCTGCAACTTATTCGACAATAAGCGGAAAGTGCCGCAGAGCTTCATAATTCATGCACATGTTTATGGTATGCGTGAGTTTCAGTGCTGTCCCACCCTCCAAATGTCAGTTTACGGTATCCGGTTACCCACACACGTGTCATGGGATTAACCGACACGTGTAAAAAGTCGGTGGCCAGTCAGCAACGACAGCAAGCGAATCACTGATGGAGGTGCTCGCTGCAGATGTGTCAAACCTTATTAAAGTGATCTTTGTAGTGTGAAAAGAGAGCGCTACCTCAACACTACATAGTGAATTCTCTCGGAATTTATGGTCCGAAAAATTTTCCGTTATTTTTAGAATCTTCGCACAACAGCCTGGACTCATATGTGAACTAAAATTTGGAAGAATGTCAAACTGTGCAGGTCCGGTCAGTTAGAGAAGTGACAGAATATGCTGTAAGATTGTTACAAGATATTCAAACTTTCACCGGATTCGCGTTTTTACTGGGGGTGGATACTATGTGGAAAGTTGGATGATTCGGAAGAGAAGCACTATAGTAACAATGGACTGGACAAGGTTGGGATTAAGTAAATAAGGAAACTGATCAGGTGGTCGGTGTTTAGTCGTTGAGCTTGAATAGCTTGTGAACGTTGCGTCAGCAGCTTCGAAATTACCCATCTGTGTTCACACATTTTCCTAAGGTCAGCCGTTATCTACCAATGTAACTGGGACGCACGTTCCTGGTCTATGTCAAATTGATTTGTCTTGTAGCTTGTATTCTTTGCGTTCACCTGATACTTTGATGAGCCTTTTTCACAAGACTATCTTCCCAGTATAACTGGTCATGTTTGTTTTCTTGTGATGTGATTGGTCTGTAGGGGGTTGTGATATTTGTTCTCTGACTCCCTGTGCTTGTTCTCAGTTTGCTTTACATTACGGTCTGATTTTCTTGAGTCTGCTCAGCTGGTTGCGCTTCCTTGCTTGATATAATTACTCTGCTTCTATAGGGAGGATTCCCGGTTTCGGCTGGATGTTTGGGCGTTGTTGTCAAAATGTTCTTCATTCTTTGCTAAAACTGGTTCTTTTACTTCCTGCTGGAATGTATTTTACAATTAATTGGAAAAAGTTTGGAACCGATTGAGAAGTCATCACAGTTAATTTGGTCAAGCTCTTGGAGCTGGCTTCATCCAGTCCTTCTATATGTATCTCAGGTTTCTTGTGCAGTTTTTAGGTTTGTGTTCGGAGAGTTTTTTTTGCTTAGTGACTGACATCCTCATCATCATTATCATCATCATATCCAGCATGATATCCGTGTTTGACACTCATGTTTCGCTACCATACAACCATGATTCAACTGAGAACCCTACTGTGAAGAAAAGAATGATTTTGAATGGGGAATGGACTTAGTGCTAGTTCACTACAATTGGAATATTGTAGTGGCCCCACCTCCTATACACTCATTCAGACAAGCCAGACAACAATAACACCATTGAAATCGATTAACAGCCGTATATTGCACCTTCTCCAATCAAGCGCAGTGGGGATCACGCAGTCTCCATCCCAGAAGGCATGTAGCACCGAGACCACCCAAACGTTACGTAATCTCTCTGTCAGGTCAAGGTTGGCCTCCTCTCTGCTTCCGCCACACTGAATCAGGCACGGAAAACTGAAGTCTCTTCGTAAAAACGATGGTTCGGCATGCACGACACATGGCCTGACCAACACATCTTTTGGTGCTGGACACATTCTCCAATGGAGATCCCTACTGCACAACCGAAAACTCGCTTTCCAATTACCTCGTTGCGGATTATCTGACACCAAATCACACGAGCTATGGTTTTGAGACAACGATTGTCGAACACCTGAGGACGTCCCTGTTCCGCTACCCGAAAAGGCAAGTCTCAAAGGCATACAACAAAACAGCCCACACTGTAGCCTGATAGAGACGTCCCTTGAGATTAATGGATTATCCCGGTTCGACACCATAGATGTTTCAAATTAGCAAATGCGATCCGAGCCTTGGAGATCAGTGCATTCACCTCATCTGTCACACTAAAATCAGAACGAATACGTATTCCAAGATGCGCAAAATGCTCCAAGACTTCCAGTACCTCCCCCTGGATTGTAAGTGCCGTGCTCAGTGGTCGCATGTCCGCAAGCACGATCCTACACTTTGTGGGTACAAAAATGCCCACCAATGGACGGTATAACTTTGGTCAATTCATTCAAAAACACATCAGCCTTCTCCTCTTCGAGGATGAGAACGATGTCGTCCGTATCGAAAAGGTTTTCGTCACAGGCTATTTGAACACAGGGGTTTTGGAAATCTTTCAGTATTCATCACATGAACCTATCGATCACCAAATTAAATAGGAATGGAGTGAGTGGGGACCCATGACGGACGCCGGTTTGTGTACGGAAGCTATTGGAGTGCTCTCCGTATACTCTTACACGTCCAGAATTCTGGTAATACAAAGAGCGTATTATGCTCACAAAATTCCGTGCCATTCCTTGATGGGCGAGCGTGTTAAAAACTGACTGGTCCATCGTGCCGAATACGCCTTGGAAATTCAGGAATACGATAGTTGTGGGTCGCTTATACGTATGACGTTGATCTAGCACCTGATGAAGTGCAAAGAGTTGATCAACGCAAACCCTATCAGGCCAGTAGCCCGCTAGCTCCTCCAAAATCAGCGTTTTACGGGGCCACCATGAAGCTACGAAGCACAAGTGACGCTAGCAGTCTCAGTACCACCGGCCTCAAGCTGACCTCCTGTAATTACCTCATTCACTACGAATCCTGTTTTGGAAATGGACATTATCAGCGACTCTCGCCATTTGTTTAGGACAGTCTCCTTTTCCCAAATGCAGGCAAATGGATCAGGTAAGCGCTGTGTGGGGGTCTCGCAGTGTGAGTGGGAGGTCATCCGGACTAGAAGCTCCGTGGCGCTTCAGGAAACACATGCAGATAAAAACCTCCGAAGCCATAGGGTTCCACTTTCACCGTCCAAAGTTCTACATCAGTTGTGGGCTCCAGATGGGGAACGGCTGGTGACTACGATAACTGTGGCTTGCCCACCGGTTGAGGCGGTATGTTTCATTCGCTATGGTCACTTCCTTCCGATCCTTGATGTTTTCGCTCATATTAAGTTTCTGGATCCGAACGTGCGGATCAACTGAAATGACCTTCGGACATTACCGGCTTTCTGGGCCTCTTACATTCCCTTGGATTTCTGTGTCCACCAGATTTCCCGGTCGGCTCATATGCTCACTTTTACTTGACGTCTGAAAATTCTTCTCGTCAAGTCATGTTCGGGACCAGATGGGATATTTCTCCGAGTCTCAAACAGTGCCATTATTCGGTCTTATATCCGGTGCTTGAGCGATCCCGGCAGTGCTGTGCCACAGGCAAAACCCCCAGCACTTTGCAAATAGGTGGCAATCTCGTCCCATCATAAAATCACATCTGACGGTGGAGCATTTTTAAGACACCCTAGGAGAAGATTCCATCAAATTCGACTAGCACGCTGATCTGTCAATCTCTCAGTTGTAAGGCTATTTTTTTCGCACTATATGCGGCCCTGGGAAACGAAGAGAGAAACTATTCCAGATGAGTGTGTTGTCGAAATCCACAAGTGTTCTAGAACGACCGGTAGTCTGTTATTGATTCGCGCCATAGGTGAATGATGACAGTGTGATCGATTTGAGTTCATGGCCGGCATACCGTTGGAGATCACTATGCGGTCAGACGACTTCGGCTATTTTGGGAATTAAGTACTGCGTAAAAAAGCCTGCGGTCAATACACAGCTCAAAGATTCGTTCGCAAATGTCCGTAAGTACTGAGTGCACTCCATGTGGACCACCTACTTGAGTCTCAGATGCGCTAAGCCTGTCCACTTGTGCATTCAGATTTCCGACAACCTTTGGCTCACTCCGACGGGAATTCAGGGAATCATAAAACTTGTCGTTGATGGTTTTAGGGCTATAGTTGGTCGAAGCATAGGCAGACACGACAAACAGACATCGATCAACTTCCCGGTTGTGAGACTACTTCACAGACGTTGGCAGACAAACTATGCAAAGGCGACTATCAACGGGCATCCAGTCAAGCAAGGATCGTTCCGTCCGGTGATTTAGGAGGATACCAACCCCTGTACTTCCAGTCGTAGAAAGCTGGATCGCCAGAGGTGGGCAGCCAGGAGCCACCGGAGAGTGATGGGACGGCTAGCTCGATCACTGTGCTTGCATGCTGAATTCTTGTTCTTGAGAAACAACACACATTAATTTAAAGGGAGTCTAGTGTGAGAGCAAGAACAGCTTGTTGTCCTGCTTACTTCAGAATGTGGACATTGAACGTGGCCAGACAGACTGGGTATCGGTGTTTTAAGATTGATTTCGAGATGCCTGAGGAGGTCGGCACCGTAATACTAGCAGGTGTTGCGCGCAAAACCGATACATGACGAACAGAGTCATCTGTAATGAGTGCTGGGCCTAGAAGAGGAGAGTTATTAATTGGGTAGGAGGGGAAAGAAGTTTGTGAAGGAAAAAGAAGGGAGTCGTCACCAGTAGCCTGTTTTCTCCTACCTGCCAAGCTATATACAGAGAGTAAGGCGACCCGGCAGATGAAAGCAAACGACGGTCAATGCGGCGTGAGTTTATTTGTATATGCACAATTCATGGTTGTACGTGGGCTGGAATACTGCCATGGTGCCCACACCAAGACAAGGGGATGACTAGAATCCTCGACAAAAGCCTTTGGCTCAAAAGCCTGGCTGCGGTGGTGTTTAGTGGGATATGCAAATACATTACCATTTTAACGGAACAAGTCGCCGCACATATTCCAAACTCCAACCTGGAGGGCCAGTGTACGGTGCTCGTGAGACCTGTTTGTCATTGACCAAACTCTCTCGGTGTCCTGAGGACACTTCCCAGTATAGCTCAGTGGGTGACCGAGATACACAAACTGTCACACCGAGATGAGGCCCAGTCTCTTCGTGACTTTAGTGATTGATAATCAGATCAGTTTCATTATTCTGACGTATGAAAAGACTGCAGACCAATAATCAACACTGGTCGAAGCAGGCCAAAGGCATCACGAGAAACGCACATTTCTTTAGCTAATCACAGCAATAGGAAATTTTATGAACCCAAGTAGAAAAGGAGAATTTACTCACCCAGCTGCACACTGAAGGTGCCTTTTTGAACGACGAAATGCTTGAAAGTTAACTGCCAGTTTGGGTGAACAGATCAACAGCCGCCTAATCAATAACCAGTAGAGCATTTAAGCAATGATCGCGAGCTAACCACACTGCTGTTTAGCCGCTCATGGCCAAACGGTCGTGTTCACAGACTGACCGAAATGTCGCGGGTTCGAAACTTCGAGTTTCGTGAGATGCGCACAGCTGATTTTTCCCAATAATGGCGAAAGAGCTGTAGAGTGCTTCTTGGCTTTCACCATAGACTGACTTCACTGATAGTATGAAATTTCTATTGATAAAAGTATGTAGCCAACACCAAATGCATTCGATCATAGTCCGAAGCAGAGAGTTTGCTATCCTGCACTTCGATCGACCTGCAGAAACTGAATTTGTCCCACTTCCCGCCGGTGTAATCGGTTCGTCAAGAAATCACATGCAGCTGACGGGTGATTATGGCTTTCGTCGAGGTTTCAGATCAAGATGGTAAATGGAAGATGGCATGTGAAAGCTGGGGTTGTATTTGTGCGAATAAACGTTTTCCAAATTATGTGGCTTCTTCCAAATTCAAAACCAATTTGGTAACCATCGTCAGTAGCACTGCAAATTTCGTCGGTGCGGCGTTACTGTCATTGCTCTTTGTTTGATACTTCAGCTGACTCAACTCAGTGATTGGACTATCAACTCCACTTCTTGAGAACAAGTCCTTGCTTTTCTGTAGTCGTAGCTCTATAATACACTTGCCATTACTTCTTTTCATCAGAACAAATTGCATCATTTTCCATGCAGTAATGTGTTGGCGTTTGAACGATAGTATTGAAAGCTGATAGCCATTAGGTGTGACTCGGTTCTGATAGATCCGATTAGTTTCGTCCATCAAATCACCAGAGTGTTTTACAAAGCTGCGGCGGTTTCCATTAAACACCAGTAGTCAGTCTGTTTCAATTGGACTAAAGCAGCACTCCATGGTAGCCAGAGTGGAATTTCATTCGGAGCAGGTCAAGACCAGGATAGCAAAAAGTGAGTATCACTACGTACTTGGTAAGACGAATCAAAAACAGCTGGAATGAAGCTCAAACCGAATAAAATTCCCGAACCGGTTTCCAGATTTTGTATGGGCAAAATTATGCTTCTCATGGCGAGATACTGAAAAGACGCAAAAAAGGCGTCAAAATCTACCTTTTTTAGGTTGCTTGGTTTCTTTCGAAGGATACCTAACAGACAGACTGACATAGCTGTTGGTAAATATCGGTGTGAGACATACTAGAACTCAGTAAACTTTAAAATGTCGCAAGGGCTTGAGAAAAAAATGATTGAAATCCAGATCGGCCAACTGTGTTTGAAGTACTCGGAAATTTTTGAACTTTTTGACGGCGGACCTTCAGATATTTGTCTTAAATCCTAAGTCTAACCCAACATGGCAACGTAACAATTAGCACGGCTTTCTCTGATACTTTTTTCGGGTTCCAGGGTACCGTGTACATAGTGTCGAAGAATGTGAAGTGGCGCATCGTCACAACGGTAACAAATAACCCGGCAGAATCATCAGTGAAATAGTTGCCGATATTTTTGTCCTGAGCTCAAGACGGCTCACTGGTTCATGCGCGAAATTAGTGACCAGAAGATCCGCGCTTTGAGAACACCCTCTGCATCTAGTCTGCTTCTGTCTAAGATTGGGCAACCTGACGATATCATGGTCATCGGGCTTCTTTCAGGTGGTATAACGGTCAAACACCGGTTGCTTTTATTCCATAAGCAGACATGTTCTCATTAAAAAATGGAGTAAATTCACTCCTTGTTTACGTTTAACAGGTGGGCCAACAACAAAGTGGACTTTACTTGGACATGTACTAAATGTGTTTTTTATTTTATTAGTAGTTTTAGTACAACCATGACTAAATATATTGTACATGTTCAGACGTTCCAGATTACACAATTAGCATTGGGTCTTTTTCGAATTCATTACTTATTTTGAACGTAATTCTTGGATTTTCTGCTACATCAACAGTTTGATTTTAAGACCATTCACCCCATCTTTATCCAGGACAATCCTCACAAATCGGCTTCTATAATGCAGCGTGAACCACTCTTTTTTCAATTCATGTTTGATAATTTAGAGCTTTTGACTGTTGTGACTAGAAGTAGGAGTTTATTTTGAGCATCCATTGTCAGTCGTT